CGCCCGCCCCCAACCAGACCCGAAGCCAAACCTGCTTTGTCTCTGAGCTTTGACAAAGGGCACGAAGACAAATGTCGCCGAGAAGGGAGGAAATGGCCAGTTTCAGAGCCCTGGAGAAACTGCACCAGGCTCAACAGGCAAATGGTTGTTTCCTTCAGCAGAACCTTCCAGAAAACAAAGCTACCCAGAACTCCCAGCTAGGGGAACCACCTCTACTGTTCCTGTGTGTTCAGACCCAAGACGGTGTTGCACGGTGTCCCAATTAGCCTGCGTCTTTAAGAGCTCCCCCTGCGGAGTGGAATCCCACCAAGGGCTCTTGCTCTTTTTCTGGCCTCTTTGTGGCCGCTGATCCCGAAGGGTCATCAGATCATCAGATGGGCCCGTGAGCTCACGGCCTCCCATGCCCCATATGGGGTCCTGTAGTTCCTCCTGGGCCAAGGCTGGACCCCCAGCCTAGACTACCCTTTCCCTGCTCTACCCTCCCCATCTTCTCTGCCAAGTCCTGCGGGGAGTGTTTTCTCCTAGAGCAGACAGAAGTTGACCAAGTAAGGGCCATTTTAGGGAACTGAGTAGCTTCGGTAAGTAGCCATCGTTAACTCCTAACTGCCTGCTCGGCAGGACTGGGCCACCCACTTGCCACAGGGTTATTTAATGGAGTCTGCAGCGCTGCTTTTTGTTGATGGGCACTGCAACTGTCCTCAATTTGCAGATGAGGAAACCGAGGCTCAATGGAGAAGCTCTGTACGCTATTTGACCAAAGCCAGAAGAGACAAGAAGGAATGGGCCCCACGGTGTCCCCGAACATGCTCCACTTTCACACTCGCTGTCTGTGCCCTTCTAATAGGGACTGCTCTTAAACACCCAGCCAGGCCCCATCTCTCTATGAAGGCCTGTGTGTGTGCAGGGGCTATAAGTCCTCCTCTGACCCAGCACGAGGCCGGCCTTGCTGTCCCTGTCGGGGGCTACATCACTTTTAAGCACACCTTCCACACCTATGTCCATGGGATAGAAAAATCTCCCTGCTGCAGGTTTCTGCCCTTTTAAAACGTAAGCATCTCACTTAACAAGACCCTGTCTCAAAATAAAAACAAAATGGGCTGGGCATGTGGCTCCGTGGTTGAGGACCCCTGGGTCTAATGCTCTGCTCCCAAAACAAGACAAATCTGAAGCATCTCCAAATTGCCATTTTGTTGTTCTCGAAATTTTCTCAGTGTGCAAATAAATTAAATAGCAAATGGTACAAGTATGATATTTAGATAGTATTATTTTTTTTTCACATTAAAAAAGATAGTTTCAAAATGCCTGGGCAGTTTTAGATCTGAAACTCTCTCTCAGGAGGCCTGATTCTTCAACAGCCTGGAGAGCAGCCAGGAGCCTGGTACCACAAAGTCCACAGGTCAGGAGCGTGGGACTTCCTGAGACACACCACGAGGGACTAGGGTGCATCCCGATCCCCCTACCCGGCATTCACAGGTTGAAGTCCCAATCCCCAGGTCCTCAGAAGGTGACTATTTGGACCTTTAGGTACTCTGAGGTATCCGTGTAGGCCTGAATCCAACGTTCCTGATGTCCCTTTAGGAGGAGACGAGGACACAGACATACCCAGGGACAGCCATTGGCGGACAGGGAGGAGACCGCTACCCACAAGCCAAGGAGAGAGACCTCAGGAGAAACCAACCCTGCCGACGACACCTTCACCTCAGATTTCTGGCCTCCAGAACCCTGAGGGACACATTTCTGTCATTCACACCACTGAGTCTGTGGTGTTTTGATCTGGCAGCCTGAACGGACCAACACAGATTTCCCACGGTGGCCGATGCCGTGGCCGGTTTAACCCGTGGCTTTTTACAGTCTTCAGTTGGGCCAGGAGAAGTGTTTGGATAGATAGACACTTTTTAAAACAGTGGCAAACTGGTGCCCATGAAGCGGCGGGCTGCACACGCTAGATCTCATATTCTACAGTCCCCTCTGCAAGGCCCCAGAAGACTGGAGTCACCCAGAAGCAAGCGACAAGCAGTGTTGCTGAGATTTCTACCTGTGGTTCTAGGAACTCAGAGGCACCTCGGCATTCAGACTTTGCATAGACCACTAAGCCACTTCTAAGAACCAGGATACCTGAGGCATCTTGCAAAAATATGTCTGTGCTGGGGCTTTTCCTCTCCACACCTACCGCAGACCTTTGGGCCCATACATCACCCCTTTCTAGGGGATCCGAGTTGGGGTTCTGCAGGAATTTTATGTTACAGACCACATGTGACCATGCCAGGGAATCTCCATAGCATCTTATCTTCTGGCCTAAGCAAACCAAGCGAGAACCTGGTGTGGTATGATAGAGAAGAGCTGCACTCTCTGTGGTAGACCACACTCATTTCGCGTGCCAGTGTCTCCGACGCTGGCCTGGCTCTCACGGGGAAGGGAACAATGGTTTGCTGGGTCCCACATCTCTCTTTCCCCCCATTTCCACACGGGTATCTGGCTAAAAATGAGTTACGAGTTTCCTCCTGTGAGAATTGCGGGGACTGATAAAGGACCATCCCAGGAAGAAAACAAGACGCTGGGCCGGCTCTCAGTTGCCGCTGGGAGGGAACACAGGCTATAAATTACAGGAGGAGAAGTGACCGCATGGGGCACTGCCAGTGGCCAGGCTGTGGGAACAGGGAGAACTGTGGGGGAGAACAATTCACTAGAGGGAAGAGGGTGACTTGTAGTATCCGAGACTAAGGTGGTTTCTAAACACTACCAAAAAAAAAAAAAAAGGAAAGAAAGAAGAAAGTGAAGTTTGCCACCTCTGTGCCTCGGTGAGTGGTGTGGACAGTGAATCTGGACAATGGACACCCTCATATTGATGGATCATTGAGATGAAATGAACCAGGAAGCAGCCACCATTTCACTGGACCCACAGACATTAAATCTCCGTATTGTATTATCAGGTTAGAGATTCCAACCCCAGGTTCTTTTAGCCAGGGACAAAGACCTTCACAGAGGAGCCCTTCTGAGCCCTGCACGGTGGGGGGTGGCCCTTTGCAAGCTGGCTGGCCCTTGTTCCTCAACTGGGGTAGTTGGGATGACTCTCCAGGGGCACAGCAGTCCTGGGGCTCCGCTGGGACTCGGCTCCTCCTATTTCCTGGTGTCTGCAAAGGTCACCATGTCCCCTAATTATCTTTGCTGTTGGGACAGTAAGAACAGCTCTAAGAGCCAGCACTACAGGCTGACAGCCAACCTTACCGCCCAAGGGAATGTTCAAAAATTTCCTGAATCTGCTTTCCTGAGTTGATAAAATAGGAAACAATCAACGTTTGGAGGGGGGTACTGAAAGCGGAGTAAACGCAGGAAGATCTCTTTTCTGTTATTCTACAAATATTGCTTCCTTTGCCTGTGAGCAGCCCAGAGGAAATGCAGCGAGGGGGCAGGTCGCAGCCTTGCACCCGGGCCCCGTGTCTGCTGTGCCCGCAGCACGACTCTGCAAGGCGTGTGACTCACTCGCGTCCGCATGATTCAACTTCACTGCATTTCCTCAGCTGCCAGGAAAGGAGCACTTGAAAACCCTTTAATTTGAAGGTTGGAATCAGTTAATGACTTGCTTTCCTCCCTTCTCCCTCCATCCTCCCCATCACCCCGCTGCGCGCACACTCACAGGAACACGCTGTGGACGCGCACGCGCACATGCACAGCTCTGCCAAGTTTTTAAATTTCAGGGACCCGGAAGCACAGAAGCTCTGTGGCATTCACAATGGCATTTGTGGTGACACAGTGGCTGGCAAACCCTCTGCATTCCCCTGCACACTTGACTGTATGAATAAATAATGAGTCACAGATACTGTTTGGGTGTGCTTGAGAGTTTGTAGCCAGAAAATTAATTATTCCCCCAATCCCATCCCACTCCACCGGGGCTCTGCCAAACCATCAAGCCACACTGAACATCGGTCAAAGTGTGTGCCTTGACACATTGTGAAGCCTTCATGACATTTTTACGGCATTATTTTTGTCTAAGCATAGCCTTCTTTTACCACGAAAGATACACAGTACACACATACACACACACACAGCCACTCATGGCTCAACCCCAGCTTTGCATACTTTACGACACTGGGTGCAAAAAATGCAGACAGGTTTTGCACACTAGCTGAGCGTCTCTGTGAGCATGCAGTCTAACGATTTTAGCTGCGAGAATGCTTGACTTAGGAGACGTCCTCATTGCTCTCTTTGACAGAGACCTCACAGGCGACAACTTGCCTTCTTCCTCTCTTGAAAGACACCGGTTGCCTCTTTGCAATGAGGCTACAAGGGAAAACACAGCATAACCCCAACCTGATGGTTTAACCTAAGCACATCAGCCCGGAGGTTCCTGGGCTCTGCTTTTTGGGGACAGCAGAGCTGCCACAATGGCCGTGGTTGAAGGCGCATCCGTCAGCCTCCTCCAGCCCACACTGGCTCCAGCCCTCCCAGCCGGCTCAGTCCACGTGCCTGCTGAGCCCCGGGGCAGGCTGCAGCCTGGGCCACACAGCAAGCTGAGTTAAGCATAACTCAGACAGACTCATTCCACCCCACATGGGAACCGCCACCAAAAGCCAGGGAGCTTCATCAAGCCTCCTAATCTCTAGGACTTTAAGCAAGAACATCACAACTTCCCCACACTTGACAGCTCTCACGCACCGACCGAACACTTCAACAGCTTAACTAAGCATTTCTTCCGACATTTCTGAAGAGCTGCCTTCTGGTGAATAAGTAATCCAATAGCCTGGTAATCACACGCCTCGGTCTGAATTCCTCCCACCCCACCGACAGAGAACGGCCGGCTCCGAGGTGCATCTGCACCGAGGTCCAACAGGCTGCCATTTCCTTACACGCAGAGCTGAGCAAAAGTGGATATTAAAAGACCAGCGGGTACTCACCTCTCATGAAGCACTGTGGGTACGAAGGAAATGACTCAAATATGCTGTCTGAAGCCATCGCTTCCTTCTGAAAATGTACCCTCTTCTGAAGGCGGGGGATTCAATGATTTACCTTAAGAGCGAAAACCAAGAAAGGTCACTGTTTCAACCTCACGTCTCCCCATGGCTCCTGGCATCTCTCGTTCCTCCCCCTCCACACCACTGGGACTCCCCAAGCCCTGTGAAAAATGTACCTTCGAGAAAACAAATATTCAAATTGTTAAAGATTAAGAAGGGGGAAAAAAAAAAGCGCCGCTTTGGCTGTGGGTTGAGGATGCTCACCACTCTGCGAAACCCTGTGGTTTGCATTCAGTGTGATTCGTCCTGCCTGCTGACCACTATGCCGGGCTCAGACTTCTGACACTGCCAGCCTACCCAACTTGTGGTTCTGTGGTTGTTTATGAGGCCCAAAGAAGTTTTCACACAACCCAAATTACAAATTTAACTGTTCCCCTTTCCACAGCTCATGTTAATTGGTTCTTGCCAATCATGTGACTTAAGTGATGTCAATTTTTTTTTTTTTTAACTTTCTGAGCAATGTCCCTCCTTCTCTCCACCTGCCCTCCCCCAGGCCGGGTAAGAGTGCAGTTTGCAAGAGAGGGAATGTAAAAAAGTGACTCAGTCTCTTATTATATCTCCATGCTCTTTGCTGATTTAGTATAGCTCGGCTCCTGTTGTTCTTATTTGTGGTTTTTGGAACAACTGATTATTTTGATAAAGATTTCATTGCTGCTTATTCAATAGTAATTCAATGCTGGCATCAAGCTGCTGCTTAGACAGGATGTGGCTGCCATCATCTGAAATGCTGGGCATTAGCTCCGGGAGAGTTCAGTCCTTGGTAAAGACTATAATGGCATAAGTGAAACTATAAAAGGGAAAAGTAAATAAAAGGAAATGTTTTGGTGAGAGTCTGACCCCCTAAAAGGGGCTAGCAACTTACTGCTACTTTAAAGCCTGAAAAAAGGAAAGCATTTTAATTTTGAAATGAAAAGATGATTTTAATAAAACCCAAATTATGTGGTTTGGGGCTGGGGCTGTAGCTCAGTGGTAGAGTGCTTGCCTAGCATGCAAGAGTCCCTGGGTTCAATCCTCAACACCGCAGAACAACAACAACAACATCATGTGGTTTTACTCCCGCATTTCTTCAAGTGAAGAGATAAAATCATCATCGCAGCTCTTAGCAGCCACATCTACACCCACATTCACACACCAAGTAGGAAGCTACAGGAAAACAAAGAAAGAATGTCTGCATTCCGGGATGAAACAGTGGCTCTTCTGTAACTGTTTTACTTACTCCTGTTTTCCCCCATGGAGGTCTGACGATGGCAGACCTTGCTCATTGTTCAAGTTCAGCTCAGATCAAAAGGCCAATTTGCACCTGCAGCTTCCACTCCACTTTGAGCCCCTTGAGACTGCCCCTTCTCATGGGGCTGCCCAGGGAACATCACACAGTTCATCTTCTGCCTTAGGAAGCCAGGCTGGTTTGGAGGAGCTAAAAAATAGGACAATCCTGGTGTGAGTGACCCATTCTGCTCACATATATTTATGTGCCTTTTCTACCCCTTGGTTTTACCTGCTGACAAACAAAGCTCATTCTCTTTGTAGTTCCAGGAGGAAGAGCGACTTTCCTTTCATAATTAATTTCTTCTTTTCAGTCTGATCTGCATCCACCCTCGACTCTGCAGAAGTCAAGGCTTGACACACACTTGATACAAACGGTGAGATGAGACGGATCCAGCTTGGCTTCCCAGGAACCACCAGCAAAGGTGTTCTGAAAACTCCGAACCCCCACACGATCCCTCGGCTCATCCTGGTGCAGTTTGCTGTGCGCACAGAGACCCACTGCGATGTCACCTTTGATGGCACAGTTCTTTCAAAAGGAGCAGACATAAGTTTTACTTACTCCTGTTTTGACCCAAGCAGGAATTGAAACTCTAGAGGCTGCTTTCTCTCAGACTGCTGAGAAGTCAGCTCGACAAATGTCACACTTTGTCACATTTAATAGAATGTCATGCTTGGATTTCTGTTAGGAAGCTCATTGATACCTGAACGCAGTGCTTCTGAAAGCAAGTCCACGGTTGGCAAGATCCACTCATGTTCCTGTGCTGTTAGAGTCCCTAAAATGTCAAGTCTGAGTCAAGGCCCGACTGGGTTCTGTTCTCCCTTCTCCACTGAGGGTGGAGGGCTTCCGGGAGCTGAGGCCATCCCAAAGTCCACTCGTATTTAACCATGACGGAGACCTTCGAGTGGTGATGCATGTGAGTGATCTGGAGACGATTTCATTTTAGAAACTCCCTGGATGACTTGAGCCTAGGATTCTAGAAGCCTGAGCAGAGGGTTTGGGTATGTTGGCTTCTCTCTGTGGCCTAGTTATAGGCTACGTGTCTTTCTTGGTGGGGCCTTCAGAGGACAGGTCAGAATTTGCAGAAGGCCGTGAGGCTGGGGCTGGCCAAGGGCTCGCTGCACACATGTGTCTCTGGCTGAGTTTCCGGCAGGCAGCAGGGGGCAGAGCACAAAGGCCTCACCAGGCCGGGCCCTGCCTGCACTGCCTTCCCTGGGCTCCATGGCCACAGCAGCCGCAGCCAGCTTCACAGCCTGTGAGGCAACTGTGGGGCTTTCCTGGGCCTTGTCCAGGTCCTGACAGGGAGACTCAGCCGGCTGCTGGTGAACTCGGCCTTCCCGCTTCCTTAGGAGCCTGAGCCGCAAACACTCGTCTGTCATCAGTGAACAGCCTGGAGAAATACTTCATCACATCTTCACCAGGACTGTTTGGGATTCTTTACGTTTATGCAGGGACCCAACCCTCTAAGTCTATGCCCGGACCCTTCCTGCGAGTGACTCAGATGGTGTCCTGGGCTGCTGGCTTGAGAATTGTCCCTGAGTGGCTACAGTGAACTGTGGCTTTGCCAAGTAACTGGATGGCAGTTTTCATCCTTGCTCAGATTAGCTACAGCTTCTAAATGCCACCCTTGGGGGTGGGGTGAGGAATATGCTCAGGTGTCTTTTTTAATGGCCCCATAAAAATACCAGCAAAGGTTGAAAGATGCATAGTTGCATAACCCTATAATTAATGCACAGAGCTGTGTGGGCAATCCAATCCAATTAAAATACTCTCTGGTCTGCATTTTTATCGCCATTCCTACATGCTGTCTCTGAGCTCCACAAGTTGATGATAAAACCTTCTCTGGCCAGGAAATGGAGGTAAATAAAGATGAGCACCCCGCCCCCCCAACTTGGATGTCATCAAAAATCCCAAAAGAATGATGCTCCTGAATTATCTCTGTGTAGGATGAATTTTATTATTTTCTAAATCTGTGTTTTCCAACAGAGGCGCTAACTTGGAAGGTTCCATGACAGGCCAACCATGAGCTCAGTGATGATTCTGAAGTCGAGGCATAGACATTGAAGCTTCATGGACTGAGCATACCTTGCTCTTGGCTAATCCAAGGGTTTGAGGTAACTGGACAGCCCAAAGTTATCCACCTGTTACAGATTTCTCCTTAGACACTTGGGATGGGTGTCCAGGTGAGGCGGGTCACCCTTCTGCCCAGGTCTTTCCCTCCTCCAGGTATAATTCAAATTTAAGCCACTAGAAGAACTCACCTGACAGCCAAGCAAGATCTTCACATGTATTTTTTTTTCCCTGTAGATGAAGTAGTATCGTTCTTTGGGAAAATTGAATATAAAAAGGAAAACATTGAAACTAACCCATCAAATCATCGTGGTCTATTGAAATGAAACACTGTTTACTGAGAATTGTTTCAAGTAGACGTGTTGAAGCCTCTTTGCACTGTACCTGAGGACTGTGAGCTGGCAGCAGTGTCACCATCTGGCACTTGCTATCAGGTATCAGGATCCTGGGCTCCATCCCAGGCCTCTTGAATCTGAGTCTGTATTTGTGCAAGATCTACAGGGGACCCCCCTGTGCCCATCAAAGTGGGGGATACTCGCTCTGAGGGAAGCAAGCATTGCCCGTGCTGGAATTTAGTAAGGAAAGAAAGAGCAAGGTGCTAATTGTTGACATTCTGGAAGATCTCCTCCTTCCCCAAGTTTTCTGAAGCATCTGACTTTAAAAGCATCTGGCTTGGCATGACTTTTTAAGTCCTGGATATTTCTAGACAGCAGAAACCCACAGGAGGTATGGCCCGTGTTCCTCCACAGCGAGCTTTCTGGAATCCTCACCTGGACCTCTCATCTCATGCTATGTTAAGGTCAAGTTTTCAGTCCAGGGTCTGACACTACGTGGAGGGCACCCCTGTGTGCTGTGTTGCTGGTGGCCAGGGGCTAGACACAGAGGGCTTTTCCTGCAGGGACACCGGACTCTCAGTTTCCACCTACTTTGCAGTTTGGAAACACGTGGATTTGTCCTGTGAGTTCTTCCGGACACACACCCTGTGTCTGGGAGGCAGGCCGCATTGCAGGTGGTCTTGGGGTCCCATGGAGCTCTTCTCCTCCCCAGGGGGTTCCTGCCCCTGTTCTCCAGTGGCCAGGGTGCACATGTCATGCCCTGACCTTGCTCCAAAAGAAGCGCTTGCCACTTGTAGCAGCCAGACCTTCCACGGTCCAGAGGCTCCTTTTCACAGGCTCCCAGGAGTTTGTTTGGCTCCTTCTCTTAGATGCATCTGGATCGTTTCAGGTTTGCTGTGGGCCAGAAAGCTTGTTTGGAATAGTTTCTTCTTACAGACTTTTGGCCCTTCTGTTTCTGGTGCCATTTGAAACCAGGAGGGTAAAACTGGGAAGCTTCAACAAACCCTCTTTGAATGCTAGAAAGGCTCAGGCATCCGAGGTTTGGTCAAGTGATGGAAAACATTCTGAGTTTGTACTGAACTTTCCAACCAGTTTCTCCAACCTCGAGGCTAATTTTAGTAGGGTACCCACATGGGGGAAAGCAAAGGGAAATGAGGGAAGGGCTCTGGATTGGAGAAGCCAGAACTCACAGTGGTTGGATAATGTAACACTCAGTAGTATTTCAGTTTAGGTGGCAAATAATGGTTCACGTCCCAAGTATGATCAGAGCACTTGGCCTTAGGAACTTTGGACTTTTATTTTAATTGCTACTTCTTTTCCTGGTGGCAGGCAAATTAACCAACTTCCACATGACTATTTAGAAACCAAAGCATAATAGTACCTTTGTCACTTGGGTGCTGTGCGGATCAGTGAGAGTTTGGACTATGCAAAGTGGTTTTTGAATGGACTAAGAAAGAGGTCTGTGGTTGTCATTTTAATATGGAAACATCTAACATGTGAATTTTAATACTTGCACTTGCCAGGTAACATGAAGAGGTGGTGTCAGGTTCCCACATTAGAGGTCCCCATAAGAATGAGGTGAAAATAGTCGATGCTACAAAAATCCCGTGTTCACGACTTCAGTTTTGAATTCACTGTTATTTTGAA